GTGCGTCACATTCGGATGCACGTCAATTTTCAATTTTTAAAAAATGTCTTGCATTTTATAATTTAATTGCTAAAATAATTAGTATTTCATTTGATAACGCTAGTAATAACAATGCTTGTGTGGAAAAATTAAAGTATCATTTGCACCTACATCAGACGGTAAACTATTTCATACAAGTTGTTGTGCACACATAATAAATTTAGTCGTTCAAGACGGTTTAAATATTTGTAAACCTGTAATTGATAAATTTAGACTTATGTTGCGGCGAATTTTCACAAAAGTTCAAAAAATGAATGCGGAATATAGAAAGTATTGCGAGAACGTTGGTTTTAAAGTTTAAGGACCAAGGTACGATATGCCCGTTCGTTGGAATTCGACTTATTTTATGATTGAAATTTTGATAAAACAAAAAAATTTATATTTTTGCTTTTTATAGACACCTTTACCCGCAAAATTCTATTAGAAATCTTGATTGGGCCGTGCTTGAAGGATTGTACGACATTTTAGACGATTTTAAAAAGACAACACTTCTATCCGGTATTTATTAACCAACAAGTCCTTTAGTTTTAAACCAAATCTATATTTTGGCAAGTAAGATTGCTCAATACGAAGAACATCATTGGAAAAAGGTTGATGTCTTCAATGAAAAAGAAATTGTTCAAATATTTTATAAGCATTCCATTTGCTTTTATTTGTGATGCGACATTAAACCCGTATTTTAAATATTGTCGGTGTTGAAGTTTTAATTACACAAATACGTGTGACTTTTGATTTGGATACCACTATGGATAATTCTTTTTCAATGAAACAAAAACGTTTGTTTAATCGTAATTTTCAAGCTTTATTTGATCATTACAAATATTTTTACGGAGAAGGAAACCATCAACAAAGCTCTTCAAGTCGTGGGTTTGTGGGTTCTAGTTCTTCTTCTAGTGGTCATCGACAAACATTTTTAATAAACGAGGTTTAATATAAATCAAGTAAAAAAAGTCGATATGATAACGATTTGGGTGAACTAAATATGTATGTGCATACTAACTTTATGGCCGCATGTCCCGCAAATGATGTCGAAGATTTTGAAAAAATTGATTTATTAGATTTTTGGAAACAAAAACAACCTCAATTCCCGATTTTGGCGTGCATTGCACGTGATGTACTAACAATCCAAGCTAGTACCGCAGCTTTGGAGTCTGCTTTTTCTCTTAGTGGCAGGATCATTTCCATACGCCGGACAAGACTAAGCCCAGAGTTCGTGGAGTGTTGCATCTGCTTGAATAATTATTTGGAGAACGTTGCTAGGATTCAACACACGACATCGTTAGGAATGGAGATTGGAGCGATGGAAGAAAATATTAGAAGAAAATGAAATTTCCATGGGACTAAGCACTCCGCCAACTATCGATACCGAAGACATTTACTCACAATATGAAGATGATAAGGAACTCGACATTGATGACCTTGATGACCAAGAGACTATTAGAAGAATTCAAGAGACCGGAACTCTTCAAATCAATCCGACATGAGATACGGATGAAGATTGATGAATAAATGTATTTTCAAATAACTTTTTATAAAACAATGTAATTTTAATTATAATAAAACGTATTTTTAAAGTGTATTTGAATAATTCGTACGACAAATTTAATAACACAGTAAAAATATATATCATTTAAAAATTTAAAAAAATTAAAAAAATTAAAAAATATATATCTTTTTATGGATGAGACCGGTTGGGACCGGGACCAGTAGCCCCATAACCGGTTATGATTCGGCTTGACTGGTCATTACTTTCTCGGCCGGGACCGGACCGGTTATGATTAGACCGGTTACCACCAGTTACGAAGAAGCTAAGGCCCGATTAGGACCGGCCCGGCCCGAAATCGGTTTTTGGCCATCACTAACTTGAATAGATTAAAAAGATAGAAGTTTTGACCCATTTATACTTTCGAATTCGGATAAGAGTGTGATTTTGGGCTTGGGCCCTCCATGTCTAGCCCAACTTTCAGATGTAAACGGACTCGGTTAAATGTTCAACATCGAGGGATGACCAGACCAGACTAGGCCGGATGGGATTGAAAAATCAAATAACGAGAGAACCAATAATCAGCCAATCTAAACCTGTCATGTTCTTGTTTAGAGCCGGTTTAGTCCGAATCGAATCATAAAACCAAATACAAATTTAGGATTCTCTAACTTAAAATTAAAATATTAAATAACGTTTTCTCAAGTTCAAAATTACAAAATTTAAAACAAAAAGAGTTCGGTTCCGGATCTAACTGCGAACCAACTTGCTTTAAAATCTAAAACCAAATACAACCGATTTTGGTATTTATAAACATAATAACTGCAATAATATGTTGAATCCCTTTAAATCACTCTCTAAACAATGTTCTTATATAAAGACTGAAGGTTCCAAGATATATAAAGGTTTGATAGTATATGTGTTAACAATAGCAGAAGCGGACATATTTAGGGGCATACCGTTGAGCTCCTTTGGAAATACAAACAACTAACAAACTAACCCGAGAAATTTTCTCGACTTAACAGTGCAACAAACCGAATCCGTGTAATGTTCATCCATATGGTCAAACAATACCGCCAATAAAAAAAATCCATGGTCCGTCTCCGACACTCCAACAATAGCAAACAAAAAATCTTTAGCCTAATAGTATCCGAACATCAGCCTCCGGTTCAGATCTCATAAAAGATAAGAATGATGTGTAAGTTTATCTGTTACATTCACAGTATAAAACTTCAAATAATAAAATAAAAGAGAAATTGATATAAAATAAATACAAAGCCCATAAAATTTATACAAGAGCAAAT